ACACTTCACTGGAAAATTTCACTTTGAAAGTGTCGCAAAAAGTGCAAGGAGCAACGTAATATCATTTTGCACAAATGTCATCATGCATTTCTATTTTGGGTTGGAAAAATACAAATTCTATCATAAATCACTAAGCTTGCAGCTAACATTCTTGTGTTCACGAACAGAATCACAAACAGACTTGACAATTAATAGTTTAATCCCAGTTTGAGTGTAATTTTATATAAAAGAACACAGTAGCCTAGCACAAGTAAAGTGGTAACCAATACAAATCTGCTTAGGCTATATAGGTCTATGCAATGCAGCCTATATTTACTTAATGATCATCTCATGTAATTTCCTGTGCCCTCATCAAAGAGGAAATATTAATTTCACAAACCACTATGTCTGTGATGTGACCCAATACTGTCTATGTTCAGAAACAGATAACCAGAGAAGAACTAGCCACACTGGTGGTAAACCCTAGTGAACTGTCTTGTAATGTAAATAGGCCTATGCTTTAACAGGACATAGTGGCCGTATGAAATTAATAAATTAATATGTTCTTATCAATGCTGAAATGAATGGTCAAGCACAGATCCCACCTGAACAAATTGCTGAATAAATGCGAATAACTGCCCTGTTCATTCAAAATAATAAACCATGAACATCTCCCCATTAATCTGTCGTGTTTCACGTGCTCCGGTGCAGCCTGTTGTCAAAGCCGAATAACAGACGAAAAACGGCAAATAATTCAGAAGCGTGTCATTTGAGTAATACACGAGCGAATACATCTTACCTCTGTCTATTAAAAAAGGGCGTTTCCGTTCAGTTCACACGCTCGCTGTCGGCTGTACCGCCGCATCTGCTTCGGTCCCTCATCAGTTGCTTCTGTGATCAGACACTCACCACGCCTTCCCCTTACCGGCTACAAAGACACAGACCGGGGCCATGCCGTTATCTGCACACACTCACACACTCATATCCATAGTAGGCTATTGTGTGTGTGTGTGTGTGTGTGTGTGTGTGTGTGTGGATCCCCTACACACGCCCTCCGCTCACTGACAACACACACACACACACACACACACACACACACACACACAGCTCGCTATTACAGATCCTCACACTGATGCTGCCGGGAAATAGAGTGGATTTCGAATTCGCGATATTCGATTGTAATATTATAGAACACGTGATAATCACACACACACACACACACACACACACACACAGCTCGCTATTACAGATCCTCACACTGATGCTGCCGGGAAATAGAGTGGATTTCGAATTCGCGATATTCGATTGTAATATTATAGAACACGTGATAATTAATTCGATGAATCGTTTAAATTAAATGACTCGATTCACTGATTCGTTCGATCAGTGCGCTAAAGGTGCGGTATATTTATCCTCAGTGTTGGGGGTTACGCGAGTTACGTAATCAGATTACTTTTTTCAAGTAACTAGTAAAGTAACGCATTACTTTTTAATTTACAAGAGACTTTTAAAGGTAACTTTCCCCGACGCTGTTTATCGTTGCTCGGCAAAATTTTGCGGCAAAAATCCAGTCCGAACTTGCACGTTTGTGAGTTTGGCGTGAGGGCCCACGGAAATTTCGCTCATGTTCAAGCTGGTCACACAAATTCTGCGCTGACCATTAGAAATCAGCTTTGGTTTGAAAGTGACTTATGAGCAATGCGCTACAATGGACAATAGACCCTTCTGAACACGAAATTGTGCAATGAATGTGACCGCACCTTACGAAATACAGTGAAAAAAGAGTAGGTAGCCTAATTCTAATTCCAGCTAACATTCTGAGAACTTTGGCTAACGTTCTGTTTCTCTCAAAGTTATGAACAAACATTCTTCCAGTAACGTTAATAGAATGTTCATTCAAAGTTATCTGGTCTTTAATATAATGTTCTCAAAACGTTGCCACAACGTTATTTAAGCATTGTTCATGGAACTTTTCTGAAACGTTATAGTTGTTGTTTGTCTAATGCTTACTACTTGTTTCAGAACATTCAGAGAACATTCAAAAGTAAAATGCTCAGTTGTTTCAACCCAACTTTGGGTCAAATATAAACTAACCCAAGTGCTAGGTTAAATATTTAACCCAACAGTTGGGTTAGTCCATATTAGTCCATATAAGTAAAATGATAAAATGGAATGTTCCCTTAACATTTGCATAACACAAATATATATATATATATATGGATGGTTTGAGCATTCAGAGAACATTCAAAAGTAACATTTGATAACACTTTATTTTAAGGTGTCCTTGTTACACATGTTACATGTAGGCTACTTACTATTATAATAACACTTAATTATGCATAATTACATGCAGGTAACACTAAACCAAACCCTAACATATAAATGTATAATTACACTGTAACAAGGACACCTTAAAATAAAGTGTAACCTAACATTGTCATAACTTAATGAGAACACTGGCAAAACATTTTTAGAACATATTTTTGTTAGCTATGACGAATGTCTTATATATGCGTTAATTAATTCAATTAGTCATTCAGATTCAGTTAATCATTTAATTAATCATTCTTTGAAATATAATAACTTGGGATATGTGCTGATTAATTAGCAAAGTCATTCAAACACTTTTACATGTTAACATAAGCAAGCCTACTGAATAATAACACTGAACTAAGCATACTATCAGCCTGTTTTGTGTGTATTGACATATTATTAGGCTAGTAATTATTTATACATGACATGCGTATCATGCACTAATCCATGTAATCCAAAATGTCTCAAATCACATTTAGATCGAACATATTAGTGACTTGACTAAAGTTGTGATCATGAGTGGTAAATTATAAAATCTTTTTGACGATAATTAAATAAAACTCAGGCTGCACACTACGTGAAGATACATTGGCATTATTGAACTATAGACAAGGCGCCTCCTCTCCAAATGTGATGCCTCGGCTCTTCTTTCAGCAACTGTAATTCGTAGTCATTACTCTTCATGTATAGTACACAACTGCTGAAAGGTTTCCATGTACAGCCAAACTGAATTGGATAGAGGCTCAGGATTTTGGGTTTGACAACAATATCCCAAACATCTGAACAAAGGGCCAGGTTTATTTGTATCTTCTCAGTGCCCACTGTGTAAATGCCCATGGGATCCCCCTTCCCTATATATCACTCTCCACCCACAACACACAAACACCATCTGCAGTGAGTGACGAGCTCAATGTTCACTCCAACCGGAAGCTAAAATCACACAAGCATATAGCTAGGGAAACCCACTGCATAATTGCAATTAAGCATTATAATGATGATTTCAGTTGTACAAAAACATATGATTTTTAGATAGAAATAAAAAAGTATGAAGGTCTACACCTAGATATAACTGTCACTGGAGCTTAAGCTAATCCTATAATGCACAAATGAGATTAATACAAATAAACCACCACTTTGCCAAAACGTAAAACATTTGTCTGGCCCCCAAAGCTGTTTTTAATGAGGATCTCTAAGCCAAATCTCTGATATAAGAAAGTGAAGTCATCATGCACTCAATACAGGACAGATGCCAAAAGATGTTGAATAATCATACAGAAGATAGTGTACAAATTCACATCTGAAAGATTCAGTTTTGTTGCTCAGAATATTGATTCTCAGTGCTGGCTGTAACTTATTAAATATAATCTGGATTACATGATACGACTCCAAAATGTAAGTATTTGTAATTAGATTACGTTGCACTTTTAAATATTCATAATCACAATACAGATACTTTTTTTTAATTGATTGCATGAGTACATAATGTTCACACAATGGCAGTAAATTACATTTTTGACATAAAATATTTACTTGAAATACCCCTGAGATTTTAAGATTTGAACAGCACGTTCACATGTTCACTGATGTTAGTTAATGGTCACATGACATGTAAGTAAACAAATAAAATAAAATATAATGTAATATAAAATTATGTATTATATAATGTAGATAACTAAACAATTGTAAATGATTGTGTTTTATTTAATTGATTATTAAAGAACATCACATTGGTTGCCTGTGTCATGAAGGTCGCTGCAAGAGTCACTTCCCTAAAAAATATATTAGTCTGACACAGAGTGTTTCTTAATTAAACCCTGTCGCATAACAATGCTGAATGCTTAATGTCACTTTATAATGCTGAGGCTAACCTCTTGGTTACTTCATGTCCACCCTGATAGCTGGACACAGAACTGAACCCAGCATATAGCAATAGGCTAAAACCAATAATCCTTACTGTAAAACTTTTATGGCATTACAATATACTTTTATATAAATTTACTTTTTATTGTGCTACAAATTATGTGCGTGTTACAGTAAATACGCACAAGGCATGCATGCATAAATGAATTCATTCATTCTGATTCAGGTAGAACTGATATAAGACCAGAAATATATAGAATATAGAAGGTGTGCAGTAATCATGAACTTTCTCTTCAGTGGTTTGTCTGAAAATAACTTTCTGTACCAACTGAAATAGTGTTTGTAAACTAAACTATCGAATCTACTTATTTCAAATTTGGACAGAAGAATAACTGAAACCTCTAATATTAGTAATGTTAGACACTAAGTCAAATAGTAGGTGATAATGTTATCTCATTGATTTGATTATACTCCCATCGCGTGGACATTGAGCTGTACTGTTTACAAAATTACATAGAGAGTAAAATCATACAGCAGCTCCGTTTATTTAAAAAAAGAATAAGAAGAAGAATAAATAAATAAATAAAAATACAACGATTATCCGCGGTGAATAATAACAATTAAAAAAAAAATGTTCATGATAACTGAACAAGTAAAATGTTACTGTTCATTGCAAAATGTTGTCGTAGGGGTAACGCCTCCTTTTCGGTGCCAGCCAATGAAAAGACGCTGACACAAAGCTGTCGTCATTCCTGGGATTTGTAGTTCCAAGCTTCATTTGGCTGCATTCGCCACAGTCGAACAGCCCTCCTAACGGACTACAAAACGAAACCAGCGCACTACTGGAGCGCACAGCTTGACACTCCGTGCGTCTGAAAGTACGGCTCTGAACTGACTTATAATTTTCCACCTGGCAGCTGACGAAAGTTGACAGCTTTGAAAATGCAGTCGGAATCGGGGATCGTGGCCGACTTTGAAGTCGGAGAGGAATTTCACGAGGAGCCTAAAACGTATTACGAGCTGAAGAGCCAGCCGCTGAAAAACAGGTCAGGGAATGAGCGTCTGACAGCTCTCTCTAATGCGTTTTCTCTGCTGCATGCTTTTAAAAGTGCGGTATGCCCAGAAAAGACCGCGTCTGGGATTTGTTTAATGTGTTATTGGTTATTCTGCAAGTTGAGTCTTTGTAATAAGAACCAGCGGCGCTCTGTGCATCCACGCGACGCGACGGACAGCCTCGCTTATTATAATGAAGCGCAACAGTTGCGTCGCGTTGCGTGCATTACAGTAGACAACGCCTTAGGATACAACATCATCATCAAATATTTACTCATGCAGCCTGTGTCTGTATGAAGACCTCACTCTTTTAAAAGTGTGGTGAACTTTGGCGACACTTTCTAATCGCTTTCATAAACATGATGTGAAGCAGATTGTAGGTCAAGTCCTTTTAGTTATAGGTCAGCTGTCGCACTTTTTTATCCCGGTGAATATTTTAGAGTGGGATTATTATTATTATTATTTTTTATCAAAACATATTGCACATCTCCAGCGTTGTTGCCCAGCACATTAATAAAAACATACACTGAACTTTTTGTGACAAGAGCAGTGCATGTTTTGCAGCAAAACTGAAATAGTAATCTTGAAACACAAGACAAAGAGTGAAAACAGCAAATATTTAAAAGACACTAAGCATATGAATAATAAATAAATACAAGTATGTATGGTTGTTTTAGCTAACAAATAGTTTATTTATTTATTATTATAATTTTTAACATTAAAACACGTGACAACTTGCCCCAACCTGACATTATATTGAGAAGAGAGTCTAATCTTTCGGTTAAATCTACTGTTATTATACATAATCTTAAATTTGTCTAATTTAAGAGGGTTTTTAACTGTGTGTTTGAAAAACATAGCTAAAACCACTGTTAGAGAAAACAAACATTTGTGCATTCATACTTTTTACACAAAACCTTTTAGTTTACAAATGTATGAAGTCGGTTTATAAAAAATAGACTCCTGGTCATTATTATTATGGGCAGGTATAGGTGACAGTTGTAACTTGATGTTTTGTACTGTAACTTTTTACCCTTTAATTTTTATTTTATTTAATTTTAGTTTATTTCAAGCTGTACCAGCATGAAGAACGCCACTGAAATGATTATACAGATGAATTTATAGTCATAACTGAGACAAAGACATGAGAGTTTTAGCAGACAAAGTGTTTTATTTTAATGCTTCTTATACAGTCCAGGCGAAAGTTTGACCAGATCAGAGATTGCAGTCAACTTCTTTTGATCGGCTTCTATATAAATTATGAACTAAATGAGCTATATTGGATTTTTATATGATTTTATATTGTTTTATCATGTCATGCATTGTTCATGTCCGTGCTTGTGTGACTGCAGTGCACTCCTCATGCTATCTCAAGTGTTTTAGCTGTAAGTTGATGTGATTTTTGAGATCTTTCTGATATATGTGCATATGCAGTCGCACTTTTGACTGTTTCTGAAGCTTTGCTTTCTGAATGTTGTTCAAGTTGTTCTCCTGAAATGTTACAGTTACATCAAACGAATGCAAAGACTCATTGAGGCATGCATTTTCCCCGACTGTTTCACCATGACAGCTTCACTGGCAGACAGTGAGATCCTCATTTAGATGAGGCAGACGGCTCTGGCCGCCATGAGGTGAAAATTAGCATCATAAATTTAGAAGCGCAGGATAATACCTCAGATGCTGTGAGTGAATTTTGGGGGCTATTTTGGTTTGTTGCCAAAATATTAAGCGTAATAATGGGGGTGTTGGATCACAACAGGAAGCAAATATTGCACTGAAATGAATTGATTGTACGATCTGTCTTCAGTTTTGGTGATGAAGTTTGGATCTGTGTTTTTTTATAGAGTTCCCACAGCATCTTTCTACTACTTTCTTCAAACTTTTTACCTCAAAGGGCCAAAAATCAAACTTGATTGAGGGCAGTGGGCCAAAAATGGATGTTACGTTATATCCAGCTATATTATATTATTCTTATTCTTTTACAAAATCTTACTACTTTATCTGGGGTTTGACAGTAAATAGCTGACGTGTGGCAAAAACTTGAAGTTTAGCTTAACTGTTGAGAAGAAACTCCTCGAGTTCAGAAACCCAAAGATTCCATCAAGTTACTCCATCTTGTAAAAATATTGCCAAAGTTTACCCTTGTTTTACACCACTTACCCCACAAGTCTTTTGGTTGCACTTCTGTAAATTATTTTTTCCCCATGTAACACGTAAGGCTCAATGTTTATACTTTAGGAGGAGACAATACCTATAGTAATAAATGAACAATAACCTGGGTTAAGAGAATGTATGTTGACTGTCACCTTTATTTAGTCAACATGTTTAGTGAGCTGAATACTAACTAGGGTTGCAAAAAGTTGTTTCGGAAATATTCCAGAAATTTTGGAAACTTTCCAGGATTTTTTGGAATATTCCAGGGATTTTTGGAAAGTTTCCGGAAATTTTCCACCCCTTTTCAACCCTAATACTAGCACAGTCTGGCACAGACAGAAACGATCAGCCCCTTAAGTATCTATCTGTTAAAACCTCATAGTTTCTGCTAGAGCTACATGATTAAGCTGTGATTTAATTAAACAAATGCCAAGTTCTGTCATGAAACTCTAGATGGCGCAGGATGATGGGTCGTTAACGCAAACTGATGATATTCACAGCGTTAAACTACTTGGCACAAGCTGATTGGTTCATGTAGCATACACAGCCAATGAGCTTACTGCTTTACATTTAAATGGCTGTTTAGCATTTACTAGAGCATTTGACTAGAGCATTGACCCTCCACCTTCCCTAGCTCCACCTGTATAGATCTGCTACGGGTTATTTTATATGCTACTTGTGCAGCAGCAGTATTTCTTAATACTCACAGCACCGTATTGGCTTATGTATTGGCAGTAGCAAGTTCCTGTACTTGCTTTGCTTTGCAGCAGCAATAACATTGTCATATCCATTAACATGCTAAAATCTTCCGCAAGTTGTCATGATAGAAATATATGCGCTGTGTGTTTCAGAGTGAAGGGCAACACTGTGTTCATTTACACACGAGCAGCTCATAATTCGCCAGTGTTTGCCGCAGCTCAGAGCGTCTCTGTCTGCAGAAAATACTGCTCTACACGACCTTCATCGCTGCATCTGGGTTTGGATCGTATTAACGTGCATTTGTGAGCGCATCACACGTCAACCATGTTTCCATACTTGTAATGAGAAGCACTTATCAACAAACAAGAAGCTTTAAGGGCTCCCTGCAATTTTCTTTCAAAATAAGTCGCTTGATGGTCTAACACTTGAAAATGAAGAAATTAAGACACCCGTGAATATTAGTTTTATAAAGTTATAGTTATAATGTAAAATATTTAGTAGTATATTTCAATATTTAGTTAGTAATAATATTCTTTTGTTATATTTCTTATTTTTGTTTAGTAATAATAATACTTTTATAATTCATTTATTTTAATAATAATAATTATTATTATTTATTTATTTAGTTTTATGGACATATTAATATATAATAACAGCATTTTAGGCCAAATTGTGCAACAATTTCACAGACAAGCACAGTTCAAACAAAGTCACAGACAAGCACAGCAAACCTAGATATTTTTAAAATAGCATTTTAAATCACAATCACGGTTTTTATCAGTAAAAACAAAATAAAATAAATAATAATAATAATAAACATTAACAAAAAATGTCCCCAAAATCAAGTAGCCATAGTTTTTATTTATTTATTTATGCTATACTTAGCTAGTTGTTCTCAGTTTTGTTGCTCATTTTTGTTGTAAACAGAATATGTATAACTTGAAGTTCTGTAATTCTTTATGCAGCATTATGGAGCAGCATCAAGCAAAAAAGTGATTTTTCATTGGTTTTGAGGTGATTAATTTAGATACATCAGAAGTGACCAAGTTGAGTGCTACATGCCGTTGAGTTTTAAGAGGCTGGTATGAATTGCAGCCTGTAGCCGCTGGCAGTTGTGACTGGTGTCAAGATGTCAGAGGTATAGTTCTGCGCTCCTGATATTGATCTGGCAGCAGAGCCGGAGGCTGAGTGGCAGGAGCAGGTGTTTTTAGTCAAGTACCACGCTGGCCATCAGCGAGAACATCCTCACATCCTGGACTCGCTCACTGGATGGAGTCCAGCACTCCTCACAATCCACTCTTTTCTTCAAACATCTATTTTCATTCATGAAATTGTTTTTTGATTACAATGAGGCGGTCAACAGATACTTCTCCTCTTATGAGGGCAGAGACGGAAGATGATTGTTCTCAGTAGTTGATTAGTTTCATAATAACAGATAAGGATGTGCAAGCTGGTTTGATTTTTTCACAGCTTTGTCGATTACAAGGCCACTGCGGTTGGGAGTTTGACGCAAGAAACCGGAACGGTGGAGTGTATTTTTAGGTGGTCATCAGCACAACTCCTTAGTCAGATTTCAAGAGTTCTTGTTGTTGTTTTTTTTCTTTGACCCTCCCAAAATTCCCAAAAAAGATTCAGGCGTGAACCTTCAAACACACATTCATAGTAACCTCCCTCTGGTGTGCACATTTTATTTGTGATCCCGTTTCCCTGGAAAAAATTAATAATTTTATTCAGCAAAGACGCATTCATTTGATTAAATGTGTCAATAAAGGCATTTATAATAAGATTTATATTACAAAAAATAAATGCTGTTATTTTCAACTTCTATTCGTCAAAGAATTTCCATAAAACTATGAAGCAGCACAACGTTTTTCAACATTGATGATCATAAGAAATGTTTCTTGAGCAGCAAATAAGTATATCAGAATGATATCTGAAGGATCATGTGACACTGAAGACTGGAGTAATGATGCTGAAAATTCAGCTTTGATCACAGAATTATTATTTTTTTTAATATATATATATTCAAATAGAAATCAGTTGTTAAATCATAAAATAAATTTCACAATTTTACTGTTTTTACTGGGTTTTTTTTTGGAGCGAATAAATACATTTGAGCCTTGGTGAGCAGAACAGACTT